AAAAAAAAAAAAAAAAAAAAAAAAAAAAAAAAAAAAAAAAAAAAGACTCCAACGCCATTTCTACCATCAAAACTTATCTATACAACAAAACCAGGCAATCAGGCAAACTCTAAAGGTAGAGGAACATTTCCACGAAGACGAAATAATGAAAAAATTACTTACGTTTTCCCCCACCGAAAACCTTGTGGACAGGCCTTTCCCTACCGAAGAGGCGATAAATCTTGGATTTAATAGAACCAGAAGTGTCAAACTTTTCATTGTCGGAATCGGAAGAAGAGGAATCATGAGCGTGAATCTTCCCGGAAATCTTATCAATCAACGACTCACCTTTGGGCTCATCGTGGTCGTGATGCTCGGCCATAACCACTACCAAAGAACAAGCGCTTCAACAAATTCAAAAAAGCACTTACAAAAATGGTTCGAAAACTGAACCGATCCAAAATCAAAACCCGTTCCGCTCAGAGAAATCCACAACTACGAAGGTTGATTATTCCCCCAGAGCGCGGTGTCTCTCCGTTCGTCTCTGTCTATATAAACAACGGATGAATCATGAATGAGGAATCTGAGCCGTTGAAAGAGGTCGAACCAGATTTAGAGCCCCATCTTCATTTTTAGGTTTTCCATTGATAGCCACAAAGGTAAGAGCCCAAACGAAGACTCCATTAAGAAATCGCTTGCGATTCGAACACGTCGCCTTTTGCTGACGACAGAATCTTCACTGCCTTCATATTTCAAAATTTAAATCCCCTCACGCACCACGTGACTTCCCCTCTCTCCACGTGCTCCCTTTCTCAACCCACACCCCCTTTTATCTTCCGCCACGTGGCTTCTACGAACGCTCCCGATTTTCTCTTCTTTTCTTTGATTTTATCAACTAAATATATATTTTTTTAATTTTTAATCCTCCAATTGACATTTTAATTTTTGTATAATCCAAACTTTAAATAAATTATCATTTTAGTTTTTTTATTTGAGTAATGGCGTTTTTAATGAATTTTTAAATATATATATATATATATTAAATTTAAAAGCACGCTTTTTTAAGCCATTAAAAATTAAAATGTCAACCTGAGTTTGCTTCCATTTATTTAATAAATATGCTAAAGAAAATGAAATTCTAGGCCATGGGCCTTCATGGAATCAAAAGTAAAGTGGGCTTTTTGCCTTTTGGGCCCATCTTAAAATATCTGGGCCATGGGCTTCTTAAACAAAGAAATAATAAAATATTATACTTTTTTTACACCTCCATGGATTCATTGGATCGAGCTTTTCTTGTCTAGGTTAATGTCTTTCAAATGATATAAGTTGTGTAAATAAGAGGTACGGGTACAAAATGATATCTATTTACCCTAAATACCTTAATTTGAGCATGAGTCTTGTGAGATCCCACGTCTGTTGGGGAGAGAACGAAACATTCTTTATAAATGTATGAAAACCTCTCCCTCTCATATGCATTAACGTTGAGGGAAAGCACAAAGAGAATAATATTTGCTAGCAGTGGGCTTAAGCTGTTATAAATTATATCAGAGTCAAATACCAGGCGATGTGCCAATGGGGAGGTTGAGCCCTAAAGGGGGTGGACACGAGGTGGCATGCCAACAAGAACATTGGGCCCTGAAGGGGGTGGATTACGAGACTCCACATCGATGGCAGAGAGGAACGAGTGCCAAGGACGTAAGGCCCTGAATTGGAGTGGTGTGAGATCCCACATCAATTAGAGAGGGGAACAAGTGCCGGCGAGGACGCTGAGCCCCGAAAAGGGGTAGATTTGAGATTTTGATATCAAATAGATTATGATTAATATATTTAACTTTTGTATTTTATTTAAAAAATGCTTTTCAAATTTCAAAAGTTTCCTCAATATTTTTAAATAAAAAATTAAAAAAAAAATACTTTTGAATAAAAATCATTATTATTTTATTTCAAATATATATTTAAACTTTAAAAATTATTTTAAAATTTTTATTCATAATTTTAAAGTATTTTAAAAAGTAAAAAAAAAAAAAAAAAAACTTTTTCATTAATATATAATCAGTAACATATTTCCAAAATATCCATAAATTTTATTATTTTTAGGAATAATGAGAATACCTTTAACCTTAAAAAAACCAAAACAACACAGCTTATTTCTTATTAATTTTCCAAATTTATATTTTTATTCTTATCAAAGTTAAATATTTTGATACTAAATTAGGAATATTCACCTGTAAGATGATATTTACGTATAACCAAAATTTAATTCCAATTTCATCTATGCATGTAGCCCACGTGTTATGTTCAAATTGGCACAGACAAACCACATGTCAGTTTTCTAACTCTAAATTTTGATAAGTGTCTGAATAAAAAAGAAAAGAAGAAAGAAAAAAAAATTAATATAAATAAAAATTATATTGAAAATTACCTAATTAATTATAGAGTTATAGAAAGAAATCATTTTATTTCGTTGAGATTAAATTTTAAAAAAAAAATTGCAAGATTTTATTTTAAAAACTTGTAAAAAAATGCTTTTAATAATTTTAATTTTTTTAAAAAGTTTAAAAATATTATTATAATTAATAATACAATTAAAAAATACCCATAAACTTTCAAAATAATATTAACACTCTTTAACTTTTATTTTTTTTTAAAAAAATTATTATTGTTAATATAGGATGAAAACCATGTATCTAAATTCTACGGATCATTGAGATAAACGATTTCTGTTCATGTCCTAATTGTAATAACTTTTTAAATTATTTTAAAAAAAATTAAAAATATTAATGCAACTTTTGAGAATATTAACACAGTACCGACGGTTTTAAATAAAATACAAAATTTGGAGATATTTTTATTAATTTAACATATTTTAAAATATTGTCGGTAAACTTCTTATTCTTTTATTTGTTTTGTAATCACGAAAATATTTTTTTTTAACGGAGTACATTTCAACATTATTTCAATTATTATTTATGTACGTATATTTTTTAATGACTTTAAGCGAGATGATAAAGTATAGATATATTTTTTATTTTTTAAAATGTTAAGAATATTTTCGAAACAAATAAAATTTTTCATAATTTAGGGAAAAAAAAAACATTTGGTAATCCATTTATTAATGGCCCCAAGGAAAAAAGAAAAATTCACACTGTACAAACAACTAAGAAAACTTAGGTTAACCTAATTACTATCTACAACCTTGATAGCTTTACATTGAACTGTCATCATTTCTTCGTTATAAGTTCTTATCTTAGTCTAATACCTTCTATAAATATCGAAGAAGTGTCTCTTTTGCACCATCGTCCAACTCGAGAATATTCAATTTCAAAGCAAGAACAAGATGATAGGGCAACAATGGAAACATATTGTTTTCGTTTGTGTTCTTATGTCGGTAGCTTTTACGGCTTACTCGTTGCCTCTTTCGACCAGTGGAAGATGGATCGTCGATGCTACAACAGGTCAACGTGTGAAGTTAATGTGCGTAAATTGGCCATCACATATGGAAGCCATGTTGGTGGAGGGCCTTCAATTCAAGCGGCTTGATGATATTGCTGCCTTGATAGTGAAGTTGCGGTTTAATTGCGTGCGTTCGACATACCCAATTTACATGTTCACACGCTATGCTAATTTGACTGTTCAACAATCTTTTCAGAAATTGAATTTGAAAGAGGCCATAACAGGCGTAACTCAAAATAATCCTTCTATATTGAACATGACAATCGTTGAAGCTTACGTTGCAGTAGTTGATTCACTTACTGCGCGTGGAATTATGGTCGTTCCGGATAATCATGTAAGTCAACCAGGATGGTGTTGTGGTAACGACGATGGCAATGGCTTCTTTGGAGATCGCTATTTCGATCCTCAAGAATGGCTACAAGGACTCCGTTTGGCCGCTGAAACCTTAAAGAACAAGTCTCACGTATGTCTTTTTTTTTTTGCAACAATAACGGCCAATTTTCATTTACACATTAAGTTTTATTTTATATGATTTTTTGACCATCTCGACAATAACATATTTGCAAAAGGTGGTAGCAATGAGCTTGAGAAACGAGCTGCGAGGAGGACACCAAAAAGAGGACGTGTGGTATCAATACATGGGTGAAGGAGCTAAGCTCATTCACCAAATTAACCCAAATATTTTAGTTGTAGTTTCGGGACTAAGCTACGACACTGATCTCAGCTTCTTGAAAAACAGACCCATGGGATTCAACTTAGACAACAAGCTTGTATTTGAGATTCACTTGTACTCTTTCTCACATAATGGTCGTGGTTGGATGTCGAAGCCATTAAACACATTCTGTGCTAGTAGCAATCAAGGATTTGAAGACCGAGCAGGGTTTCTTGTGAGAGGACAAAACTCAACGCCATTGTTCGTGAGTGAATTTGGGATCGACCAAACAGGCGCAGATGAGGGTCAAAATCGATTTTTGAACTGCTTTTCTACATATCTTACCGAAAATGATTTTGATTGGGCCTTATGGGCTTTACAAGGTAGTTACTATCGTCGTGACGGTATGATAAATTCTCAGGAAACATACGGCGTCTTAGATTCCAATTTTACCGGTGCAAAAAACCCCAATTTCCTTCACAAGTTCGAGCTTTTACAAACCAAACTTCAAGGTATAACCTTTTTTTTTTTTTTTTTTTTTTTT